CCCGAGAAGCTCAGAGAAGGGCGGAATATCATCGGCCTGCAGGTATGACCTTTCCCCACCTGCTCAGCCCAACCCAGAGGTCAAGGCCGGAACTCTGTCCCAGCTTTGGGGACCAGATGGATGCCAGTGGCTCACGCCTGTCGTCCTAGCTACTCAGGAGACTGAGATCTGAGAATTGTGGTTCAAAGCCAGCCTGGAAAGACACTTTATTTCCAATGAACCAGCAAAAAGCTGGAGCTGTGGCTCAAGTGGTAGAGCACCAGGCTCAAGGGGAAAAAAAGCGAAGCAAGCTGGACACTGGTGGCTCCCGCCTGTCATCTTAGCTACTCAGGAAGCTGAGATCTGAGGGTTGCGGTTCCAAGCCAGCCCGGGCAGTAAAATCCATGCGCCTCTTATCTCCAATAAACCACCAGAAAACTGGAAGTGGCACTGTGGCTCAAGTGGTAGAGCACCAGCCTTGAGCTGAAGAGCTCAGTGACAGCGCCTAGGCCCTGAGTTCAAGCCCCATGACTGACAAAATAATAGTTATTGCCATATAATTACAGGCCAGATACCTTGTGTGTGTGTGTGTGGGGGGAAGGACGGGTGTGTGGGTGTGGGTATGGGGTATTGGGGATCAAACCCAGAGCCTTGCACACCTGCTAGCTAGGCAAGCACTTTGCCACCGAGCTACATCCCAGCCACCAGATGCCTTTTGTTTTCCCTACCTCACCCCTTTGTCTTCACAGGGAAACTGAGGCCTGGAGAAGCTAGCTCACCCTTTGCCCACCGGGCTGCATGCGTGACGGGCCCAGCCTTGAGCCTGAGATCTCGGTCAAGCGCTGTGGCCACGCTGTGCCCCTGTGCCTCCGTTTCCAGGGCCTCCCTCGGTCTGATTCTCCTTTTGGCTTCTCAGATGGGCACCAACAAGTTTGCCAGCCAGCAGGGCATGACGGCCTACGGCACCCGGCGCCATCTCTACGACCCCAAGCTGGGCACAGACCAGCCCCTGGACCAGGCCACCATCAGCCTGCAGATGGGCACCAATAAAGGAGCCAGCCAGGTGAGGGACACGACATCCTGGCACTCTGCCCGCTCCCCGCCTGTCTCTCTACCCCTTCCCCCCCGCCTCCCCCCCACCCCGCCCCCATCTCCCAGGGACTGACTGCTCTGTCCCTCAGGCCGGCATGACAGCACCCGGGACTAAGCGGCAGATCTTCGAGCCCGGGCTGGGCATGGAACATTGCGACACGCTCAACGTCAGCCTGCAGATGGGCAGCAACAAGGGGGCGTCGCAGCGGGGCATGACCGTGTACGGGCTGCCCCGCCAGGTGTACGACCCCAAGTACTGCCTGACACCCGACCACCCGGAGCTGGGCGAGCCCACCCAGAACCATCACCCGCACAACTACTACAACTCTGCCTAAGAGGGGGGACAGAGGGTCCCCTCCAGAGGGAGGTTGCTGCTATTCTTGGCTGGACCCCGCAGGGGAGGGGGCCCCAGTGGATCCCCCTCTTCCTCCTCCTGCATGGCTTCACCCAACCCGCTGCCTACAGGGTTACAGTTTGGGAAGAGATTTTTCGGGGAGGGGGGGGCAGCGATCTGTAAAGGGGCAGAATGGGGACCCCCGTCCCCCTGTAGCACTGCAGTGTGTCCCCCCAAACACCCACAGCAAAGCAATTCCAGCTGTTCCCCAATCCCTTCACAAGTGGGGACCCCCTCCCCAATCAGAAGCTCTACCCCCCCAAATGAAGCCCCACCTCTCCTCCAGAGCCCAGACTCGGCCCCCCAGCCCATCCCCCACAGCAGGTGCAAACTGCATGCCCAGCGATGCAGGGCACACGCGCGGTTGGCTTTGCTGTGACCGGCGTCTGCGGATGTGACAAGCGGCGTTTGGAACGCAAGCACTTTTTTTTTGTTTTTTGGGTTTTTTTGTTTTGTTTTGTTTACTACTTCACTGGAGCACAAATAAATGGCTGTAAAACCACCTGGGGCTTCGTCTCTGTTCACTGGCCTGTGTGGCTCTTACGTGCATGCAGAGACAAATTCCATCACACGCACACACACACATGCTAGCCAGGACAGGCACCCATGTCACTCCCATGCAACATCTATCCATATATACATCCCTTCAACCCTTCATGCAAACCCACAAATATAGGGCCCTGGCCAGAGGCTGGTGGCTCACGTCTGTAATCCCAGCTACTCAGAAGGCTGAGATGTGAGGAAGACAGTTCAAAGCCAGTCCTGGCAGGAACGTCTATGAGACTTTTTTTCTTTTTTTGCCAGTCCTGGGGCTTGAATTCAGGGCCTGGGCACTGTCCCTGAGCTTCTTCTTTTGCTCAAGGCTAGCACTCTATCATTTGAGTCACTGCATCCGGCTTTTTCTGTGTGTGTAGTACTGAGGAATGGAACCCAGGGCCTTGTGCATGCTAGGCAAGCACTCTACCACTAGGCCACTTTCCCAGCCCTCTGTGAGACTCTTATCTCTAATTCATCACCAAAAAAAATACCCAGAAGTGGAGCTGTGGCTCAAGTGGTAGAGCACCAGCCTTGAGTGAAATAGCTAAGCAACAACTCGTAGGCACAAGTACCAGCACAGGAAAGACACACTGCCTTCCAGGAGGTAAACGTGGCCACATAAACCACACAATACCCACATGCGCATGTGCGCATAGGATAGACTGGAGACGGGCTGGATCATCATAGCTCTGCCACTTACTGTCCCCTCTAGAGACCTGGTTTCCCATCCAAAAGATGTGTGAATTTATGAATTTTGTGGGGTTGGAAATGATCAGGGAAGATCCTTGTGGATAGCATATTACCTTTCAATCCCCAGATTGTGGGGAAGTAGGGAGGACTGGATTTGGGGGGCCAGGAGGAACGGCTCCTATAGACTGGCACAGAACACTGCCACTTCCATGTGGCTGAGCTTGGGGCATGCCTGCTTCTGCATCCATCTTGCCTTCCCATAGGGCCAGTCCCCAATCCTGCATTTAGGGTTCAAGGAATGAATGCAGACAAAGCGAAAAGAGGACACAGATCAATTTGTGTTGCTTTTTGGGGGTTGAGCCGGGGTTCAACCTGGGTGCTGTCCCTTCCTATTTTTTGCTGAGGGCTGGTGCTCTACCACTTGTGCCACATCTCCATGTCTGGCTTTTTGCTACTTCATGGGAGATGAGAGTCTCACAAGATTAAGGACTTTCCTGCCCAGGCTGGCTTTGAACATCACACTCCTCAGATCTCAGCCTTTTGAGGAACCAGGATTCCAGACGTGAGCCACTGGTGGCGCCTAGCTGAGAAGCAAGTAGTGTCCATCTCCTCCCCCCCCCTCCCTCCCCAGAACAAGGGTCAAGGCTGGAACGCTGGGACCTGCAGAGACAGACACCAGAAGTCCCGCGTGCCCAGACCCACACAAGCGCCTGGGGCCTCATAAAACAAATTCCAGGCACTTTTCGCCTGACAATTTCAAGATCTGCGCTCCCAGGGCTGGCAAGGGGAAGCTATGTGGGAGGGGGGGGAGGAGGGGGGGAGGCCCGGTGGCTGGCCCAGGGCCAGGCCTCCTCCACACACCACCATATTAGCACTTGGTCTTTCAGAGGCAGTGGGCGGGCGACAGGGGAGCAAGAGTTTGGGTGTCAGGAATGAGCCCCGTTTTATTTTTTATTTTTGTCAGTTGTGTGGCTTGAACTCGGGGCCTGAGCACTGTCTCTGCGTCCTTTTGCTCAAGGCTGCAGTTCTGCCGCTATGAACCACAGCACGGCTTCTGGCTTTTCCAGCTGTGTGTATCCTGCCCCCACTTCCAGACTTCTGAGCTCCCCCACCCCTTCACCCTGGGGGGAGGGGCTCTCTTCTGCCTCAGCCCCCAGGACAGTCTGGACCCTGGACTTTGAAAGAAGTGGCCTTCTAGGGCTAGGAAGGTGGCTCAGTGCTTGCCTTGTAGGCATGAGGCCCTAGGTTCGATTCCTCAGCACCCCATAAGCAGAAAAAGCTGGAAGGGGCACTGTGGATCAAGTGGTAGAGCGCTCGCCTTGAGCTGAAGAGCTGAGGGACAGCGCCCAGGCCCAGAGTTCAGGCCCCATGACCGACAAAAAATAACAAGTTAAAAAAAAAAAGTGGCCTTCCCTCTGGCCTGTTTCAATTGGTGAACAGATGCAGGCCTCCCACAGTAGAAGTGTTGGGGAGTGACCTGCTCTCGGAGCATTCTCTGGCATGGAAGGCTCCAAACCATGACCTCTGAGACTTGAACTCAGGGATCACTCTCTAAGCACTTAATTTTTAAAAAATTATTAATTAGCAGGGCACTGGTAGCTCATGCCTGTCATCCTAGCTCCTCAGGAAGCTGAGATCTGAGGATCATGGTGGAAAGTTAGCTTGGGCAGGAAAGTCTATGAGACTCTCATTTCCAATGAACCACCAGAAAAGAGAAAGTGGCGCTGTGGCTCAAAGTGTTAGCTTTGAGCAAAACAGGTCATGGACAAGCACCTAGGCCTCGAGTTCAAGCCCCATGACTGGCAAAAGAAAAGAGGTTACAATTTCATAAGCCAAGCGTTTTTATCCCTTAGCATTTTCTCAAGGCTGGTGTTCTACTACGTGAGCCACCCCTTCCACTTCTGGCTTTTTGCTGGCCAGTTGGAGATCAGAGTCTCATGGACTGGGCATGGTCTGGGCTGGTTTCAAATGGAAACCCTCAGATCTCAGCTTCCTGAGTAGCTAGTTGTGCTACAGGTGCCTGCCACCTGCGTCTTCGGGAAGGACCGTTGTAAATACTTAGCCAGACGCGTGTCTGCTCCACCGCGCCATGTGTGCTACCATGAGTCAAGGGTGGCCCGGCCCTCTCTCCCGCGGCCCCGCCCCCGCGGCCCCCCCCTCTCCCGCAGCCCCGCCCCTCCCGCGGCCCCGCCCCTCTCCCGCAGCCCCGCCCCTCCCGCGGCCCCGCCCCCGCGGCCCCCCCCTCTCCTGCAGCCCCGCCCCCTCCCCAGGGGTCCACACAGGCGGTAAGAATTCACTCGGAGCCGGCTCAGCACTGGCTGCTTTACTGAACGACTACTTCGCCCCCAACCCGCTTCCGCCTCCCCCACATGGACACGACGGGGGCTCCCGGGTGGGAGGCGCTGACTCCGGGCCGGGCCGGCTGAGGGCCCTGGGGTCCCGGGGAGGGGAGGGGGGCAGGAAGTCCAGTCCACTCAGGCCGGGGGGAGCGGTGAGGCGGGCTGGGGGGGGTCCGCGCATCTGTCTTTTGCTCCAGGGGAGCCGGAGCCCCCAGAGCGGGGATAGGCCGAAGGGAGCGGCTCAAACGCTACTGGACCAAATGGGGGGCTGGTGCGGGAGCCCCGCCGCCGCCGCCCCCCGCCGCTCGGCCACGCAGGCCGCACAGGCACGGTGAGGGGCTCCGCACCCCGACCCACACCCCGGCCCCTGGAATGTCTGGCGGGAACCCGGCGAGCGGGGCCGCAGTGGGCGGGGCCGCCGAGGGGGGTGGGTCCTCCACGTCGCTACTGATTGGCCGCCTCGCAGGCGTCTATCCAATCGCTGTACACGTCCACGGGTTCTGACAGATCTGAGATGCTGAGGTCAAGGGCGACTGGTACCCCGGGGCCCCCATTCCCTACAGGCACACAGGCGGGGCACAGAGGCAGGAATGACCTCCAGACCCCTGGGGCAGCCACCCTGCCGGGGCAGCCCTGGCCCCCCGCCCCCCTCCATTTGTCCAGACTTTCAAGGATACAAGTGATGGGGGTCTGAAACTCCTCGAGGCACACGGTACAAGAGATGACTCCGGTGTTGCGGGCACGGTCCCTGGAACGGGGAGAGGAGGGGCTGTGAGCGAGGCGCCCCAGGCCTGGGGACCCCGGGAGCAGGGAGGCCGGGGTGGGGAGGCCTGGGGGGGGGCGGGGGGGCCCCACTCACATTTTCACATCGCAAGACTTCTCGTGGTTACAGAAGGGGCAGGTGAACTGCGTCTCCAGGGTGCCTGTCATCTTCTTTTTGGGAGGTGGCTTCCGTTTTGACTTTCTGCGTCCCATGGCTGCAGGTGGGTACAACCTGGAGAGGTCAGAAGGGCAAAGGTCAGACACAGACTAGGGAAGGGGCCCCAACAGTGATCCACGGAGAAGAAAATGCTGCCCGGATCTGTCTCTGAGAAACAAGGTTCTGGGTCCCCCACACACTCTGGGAAGAAGGGGAGAGAGCAGACTTAACTCTGGTTCCCCACCAGTGCAGAATGACTGTGTGACCCCAGACAGAGGGCGCAGGCTCTCTGTGCTCAGGGTTCCTCTTCTTTAAGACAAAGCACGTAGCTGGGCGTGATGGCTCACGCCTGTCATCCTAGCAACTCAGGAGGCTAAGATCTGAGGATCATTCATGGTTCAGGCAGCCTGGGCAGGAAAGTCTGGGAGACTCATCTCCAATGAACCACCAGAAAACCGGAAGTGGCACTGTGGCTCAAGTAGTAGAGCGCTGGCCTTGAGCTGAAGAGTTGAGGGACAGCGCCCAGGCCCAGAGTTCAAGCCCCACGACCGAGAGACAAAGCATTTGTAAGCTGGGTGCTGGTGCTCACACCTGCAACCCCAGCTGCTTAGAAGGCAAAGATCTGGGAATCATAGCAGGAAGCCAGCGTGGGGAGGACAGGCTGACACTCTTATCTTCAATCAAGCACCAAAAACCTGGAAGTAGAGCTGTGGTAGAGTGCCAGCCTTGAACAAAAAAGCTTAAAGAGGGCTGGGAAGGTGGCTTAGTGGTAGAGGGCTTGCCTAGCATGCATGAAGCTCTGGGTTCAATTCCTCAGTACCACTGGAAGTGGAGCAGTAGCTCAAGTGACAGACTGCTAGCCTTGAGCAAAAGAAGCTCAGGGGGGCTGGGATGTAGCTCAGTGGCAAAGCGCTTGCCTAGCAAGTGCAACATCCGATCCCCAGTACCAAAAAAGAAAAGACAAAAAAAAATACAGTTAAAAAAAAAAACAAACCCAAACAAAAGAAGCTCAGGGATAGAGCCCAGGCCCTGCCTTCAAGCTCCAGGACTGGCAAGAGAAAACAAAAACAACAAAAGAAACTCCACAAAAACCTACTTTTGGAGCTTACTCCTACTACTAGCTGTTTCTCTATGGAACTCTGCTTTCTTTTTTGTTCGTTTGTTTTCATCGGTTGTGGGCCTTGAACTCAGGACCTGGGCGATATCCCGGTGCCTCTTTGTGCTCAACACAAGCACTCTACCACTTAAGCACAGCTCCACTTCTGGTTTTTGAGTGGTTCACTGGAGATAAGAGACTCACCGGGGCTTTCTTGCCTGGGCTGGCTTTGAACCCAGATCCTCAGATCTCAGCCTCCTGAGTAGCTAGGATTACAGGTGTGAGCCATTGGCACCCAGAGGGACTGTTTTCTTCTTTTTTTGGGGGGGGGGGGGTCCAGTTGTGGGGCCTGAACTCTGGGCCTGGGCGCTGTCCCTCAGCTCTTCAGCTCAAAGCTAGCACTCCACCACTTGAGCCACATCGCCACTTCCGGCTTTTTTCCTTTTGCTTATGTGGTGCTGAGGAATCGAACCCAGGGCCTCAGGCATGCAAGGCAAGCACTCTACCATTGAGCCACCTTCCCAGCCCGGGACTCTGTTTTCTGAGCCCGGGTTTAACTCGGACCGACCATTCAGTCCTCCTGCTTCAGCCTCCCTAGTGCTGGAATTACAGGTATGTGTGGCCATGCTTGGCCTCTGTGGGATTTTCTCCTGCTGAGTTGTCAATATTCCCTTCCATTCTCTCCCTGCAGGCCTGGGACCACAAGGAAGGTCACCTGTGGCTTCATAATGCCAACCCTAACAGGCAGCCCCCTCTCGGAAGAGCAGTAGCCTCATTGCTCCCTCTTCAGCCTCCTCCCCACCTCTGGGCTGGGGTGGGGAGGGAGCTCCTTTAGTGTCCTCCCCGCCTCAGCCAACTCCACCAGGCCTCTGGTGAATGACTCAATGTAACCTGAGCTCCCGACACTCTGACCTGGACCTGCTCAATGGAGGATCTGCCCTCTCAGCAGACAGCAACCCGGTTGCTCTCCCTCCCTCTCCCCCAGCTCCCTGTCAATCACGCCCCTGCCCCTCTGCCTCTGTCAAACACACCAGAACAAGGCCAGAGCCAAGACCTGAGTCCCGGGCATGTTGGTGTCCCAGCATCACCAAGGACACATTCCACAAGGGCAAGGGGTTTGGCCTCGGTGTCCCCAGGATCTCAAACTGCTCCTAACACAAAACTGCCCTCAACAAGTATTGCCTCAATAAATGAGAAGGAAGAGCAGTGGCTCCTGCCTTGAATCCTCAGTTACCCAGGAGGCTGAGATGTGAGAGTCGGTGATGGAAGCCCGCCAGGGCAGAAAGTCCAAGAGACTCTATCTCCAATGAACTAGCAGAAAACCAGCAGTGTAGCTGTGGCTCAAGTGGTAGAGCATCAACTTGGAGTAATGAAGCTCAGAGACAGTGTCCAGGCCCTAAGTTCAAGCCTAAGGATCAGCGGGTGCACACACACACACAAAGAAGTAAAAGGCTGGGAAGGTGGCTCAGTGGTAGAGTGCTTGCCTAGCATGCATGAAGCTGTGGGTTCGACTCCTCAATATCACATAAACAGAAAAAGCTGGAAGTGGCGCTGTGGCTCCAGTGGTAGAGTGCTAGCCTGGAGCAAAAGAAGCTCAGGGGCAGCGCCCAGGCCCTGAGTTCAAGCCCTAGGAGGACTGGTCAAACTTTTTTTTTTTTTTTTTTTGGGGGGGGGTCCGGTTGTGGGGCCTGAACTCTGGGCCTGGGCGATGTCCCTCAGCTCTTCAGCTCAAGGCTAGCACTCTACCCCTTGAGCCACAGCGCCACTTCCCGCTTTTTTCTTTTTGCTTATGTGGTGCTGAGGAATCGAACCCAGAGCCTCATGCATGCAAGGCAAGCGCTCTACCACTGAGCCACCTTCCCAGCCCCTGGTCAAAACTTTAAAAAAAAAGCAAATAAAAGAAAGGAAGAAAGAATGAATGGCTAAGAACCTTACTAATCCATTCAATCAACCTATCAGGCTCCTTTCCCTAACTTCTAGTGGAGGCGGCCGGAGTCTGTAAACAAGTGCACAGACAGCAGGTAGAAATCAAATGTTGGCGGGGCAAGCAGTGGTTCGTGCTACTCAGGAGGCTGAGATCTGAGGATCGCATTTGGAAGCCAGCCCACCCAGGAAAAGCAGTGAGACTCATCTCCAAAACATTACTCAGAAAACCCAGGTGCTGTAGCTCAAGTGGTAAAGGGCTAGCCTTGAGCACAAAGAAGCTCAGGGACAGTGCCCAGGCCGTAGGTTCAAGCCCCAGGACCGACAAAAAAAAAAAAAAGAAAGAAAAAAAAATTCAAACGGTAGCACCCACTATCAAGCTGTTCCATGGGAAAAGCTCTGGTGCAGTGGCAACTACTGACAAGACAGGCACAATGTGCAGATGCCAAGGCAGACGCAAGAGCAACTGTAACCATCACTCGGGCCAGCTGAAAACATGTTTCTCCTGAGTGTAGCTTGAAGGTGTTTTGTTTTGAATACCCAAGCTGGCTTCAAACTTCGATCCTTGGCCCTCCTGAGGAGTTAGGGTCACAGGTGTGAGCCAGCAGGCCCCCCTCTGCCCCCTCCCCTCCCCCTGTCACTGAAGCTTTGTTATACAGAGAGAGGGAGGGAGGGGGGAGCGCGCATCCGGTCACAGCAGCCGCATCTGTCACCTGAGCTGCCACCAGCCAGGACCAGCCAGTGTCTCGGTCCCCTTCTCACCCCGCACAAAGCTCAGCCCGGGAGACTGAGAATCACCGCAGAACCTCCGCCCCCCTCCCCCACCGCTTCAGATCTGCGGGCGGAAACCCCGGAATCCCTCAGCACGCGGGGCCCCGGGTGGGAGCGCCGAGCGCCTCACAACGACTTGTTGAATGGATGGACAAAGTTTCCTGGAAGTCAGGGAAGAGTCTACAGAGGGACCCCGCAGAACCTCATCTCATTCCGGGGACCACAGCAACCCCTCAACCCCAGGTACAAGGGGGGATGGGGGGCATGCAGCTCGCACAACTCCCCCCTCCCTCCCTCCCTCCCCCCGCACATCAAACCCCAAAGCGGCTGAAGGGGCCTCGCGTCCCCCCCGACTCCCCCCGGCCTCCCAGACCTGTCGGCGGGCGCACGGGACTGCGGGGCCCCGCGGGGCTGGGCCGGCGCCCCGCGATCGCGGCCCGCAGGGGTCGGGCCCAGAGGGTCCGGGCTCGCAGGGTCAGGGGGCGGGGCAGATGCCAATCTCCCCGATCGGCCGGCCCCCTCCCCCAAGCCAGGCCGCCCGGAAAGTTCCCGAGCCCCCGGTGAGCGATCTCCGGAGGGAGAAGCGCGCCCGGGCCCCCGCAGCACCCCAACGCCCGTCCGCGGGCGCGAACCTCTTACCCGGACTCGCTCTCGCTTCCTGCCCAGGCCGCGCTCACCCGGGAAACAGTGGTTTCCGACTCCGGGAGGAAACGGAAATAAATACTCGGCGGCTCAGGCCACGCCCACTCCCGGCGAGAAGCCCCGCCCTCTTCCGGCGCCACTCGACGCAGGCGTACTCTTCATTCGAACCGCGGCCGTGGTGTCGTGGTGCGCATGCGTGGCTCCAGGCTAGCTCTCCAACAGAGAATTCTTTCCCTTTTCCTTTCTTCCTTTTTCTTTTGCCAGTCCTGGGGCTTGAACTCAGGGCCTGGAGGCTGTCCCTTAGCTTTTTCACTCAAGGATCCTATTCCACTACTTGAGCCACAGATCTACTTCTGACCTTTTTTTGGTGGTGAATTGGATATAAGAGTCAGACTTTTCCTCCCTCTGCAGGTTTCGAACTGCCATGCTCAGACCTCAACCTTCTGATGTAGCCAGGATCACAGATGTGAGCCTCGGGCCTCTGGGTATCCTGTTTTAAGAAGCCTTCTTCAGCTCGCACCGGTGGCTTATGCCTGTAAGCCTAACAACTCAAGAGGCCTCTGAGATCTGAGGATCACAGTTCAAAGGTACCCCAGGCAAGAAAAGTTGGTGAGACTCTGATCTCCAATAAACCACTCAGAAAACCGGAAGTGGCGCTGTGGCTCAAGAGGTAGAGCCCTAGCCTTGAGCTGAAGAGCCGAGGGACAGCCCAGTTCCAGACTAGCCTGGCTACATAGTGAGTCTCCAGCCTAGATCTCCTTTCACAAACAAACAAACAAAAGAAAAACCCAAACAGCTTCTGGATTGAGAATGTATGGTCCTGGTGAGCTGGGAGACCAGTTTGAGGATCAGTGTAAGTCAAATAAAAGTTGGCCCGAGGCTAGGGTAGCTACTCATGAAAAATGGACAAATTTTTTTCAGATCTAAAATCTGAAGCTCAGGGCTGGGAAGGTGGCTCAGCGGTAGAGCGCTTGCCTTACATGCTCGAGGCCCTGGATTCGATTCCTCAGCACCACATAAGCAAAAAGAAAAAAGCCGGAAGTGGCGCTGTGGCTCAAGTGGTAGAGCTCTAGCCTTGAGCTGAAGAGCTGAGGGACAGCGCCCAGGCCCAGAGTTCAGGCCCCACGACCGGACCCCCCCCAAAAAAAAATAAAAAAAATAAAATCTGAAGCTCAGGTAGTGACGCCTGAAAACCTAAAGAGGAGACAAACACACACTGGTAACTCCTACAACATTTAGGATGAGCCGGGCACTGGTGGTCATGCCTTTAATCCTAGCTACTCAGGAAGCTGAGACCTGCAGATCACAGTTGGAAGCCACAGAAAAATCCAGGAGACTCTTATCTCTCAACCACCAAAAAGCTGGAACTAGAGCTGAGGTTCAAGTGGTAGAGTACCAGTCTTGAGTGAAAAAGCTAAGGGACAGCACCAGGCCCTGAGTTCAAGTCCCAATACTGGCACAAAAAAAAAGAAAAAGAACTTACAATGAGATGAAAGAAAGAGGAAAATCCAGGATTGTTCCCATTTTCAAGAGCCCCTGAGTTTTGACTCATAGAGGAGGAAGACTGAAGGGAGATTATTTTTATTTTTATCAGTCATGGGGCTTGAACTCTGGGCCTGGGTGCTGCCCTTCAGCTTTTCAACTCAAGGCTAGCACTTTAACCACTTGAGCCACATCACCACTTCTGGTCTGTTTATGTGGTGCTGAGGAATTGAACACAGGTCCTCAGGCATGCAAGACAAGCACTCTACCACTGAGCCATCTTCCCAGCCCTATTTTTATTTTTTGAAGGAAGATTTAAGAGGGAAGTTAAGGGTATGAGATTAAAGAAAAAGAACTCTGGAACTTCAGAGAAAAGAACTCCTGGATTTTATTTTCAAGTTGTGAGACTTGAACTCAGAGCCTGAGTGCTGTCCCTGAGTTCTTTTGCTCAAGGCCAGCTCTCTACCACTTGAGCCATAACTCCACTTCTGGTTTTCTGATGGTTAATTGGAGATGAGTCTCCCAGACTTTTCTGCTCGGGCTGGCTTTGAACTGCTATCCTCAGATCTCAGCCTCTGAGTAGCTAGGAATACCAGTGTGAACCACCAGGGCCCGGCTGGAATTTGTTTTTCTTAGTGGAACTGGGGATTGAACTGAAGGCTTCACCTGCTAAGCAGGTGCTATACTACTTGAACCATGCCCCCAGCCCTTTTTTGCTTTAGTTATTTCTCACATAAATTCTCAATGTTGTTATCATTTTGGGTTTTTGCCCATGACCAGCCTAGGACCTTGATACTCTATTGTTGTAAGGTAAATCATCCCAGAGGCCACATTTTAAAATATAAAATACTGGAGTTTTTATTATACAGTTAACAGGCTGCAGGCCTCCAGTTGTTACAAAGGCCTGCAGCACGCAAATACACATAACCCAGTTAGGAAACATGCTAAAGAGGAAAGAAATAACAAGAATAATACCAACAAGGCAATCCAGCTCCAATGGAGAGCTGAATTGGGACACAAGTCAGGAGACAGGACTCAGGACATGATCACAGAGACTCAGGAGGCATGGATTCCCTGCAGCTAGGCTGGTCTGGGCCTAAATAGGTCCACACAGGGGGCAGATCCTCAGGAAATTCCCAGCCCCAGGCACTGGACTGACAGATTCAGTAACCTATCAGCCAAGTGCCTGAGCCCGCCTCCAGGGGACCAGGCACACCTATTACCTGGGAGGCAGGTGATGGGTGGGCGGGGGGCGGGCCTCCCTTCCCCCAGCATAAAGACATGTGGCCAATATGGTGCTGGCTAGACTTGACCTCCTTACTTCACTATGTGTGCTTCTCATTAGCTGGGATCAAAGGTGGGAACCACAATGTCTGTCTTATTCATTGAGATGGGCATTTCCTCAACTTTTTGCCTGGGCTGGTCTTGAACTGCTGTCTTTCTGATCTCTGCCTCTTAGATAACTGAATTAAAAGCATGAGAGCCACTTACCAGGCATGGATAGAATCCTGAGTCACTAAGCCGGGCACTAGTGGCTCAGGCCTGTCATCCTAGCTACTCAGGAGGCTGCGATCTGAGGTTCAGAGCCAGCCTGGACAGGAAAGTTTGTGAAACACTTTTTTTTTTTTGTCGGTGGTAGAGCCTGAACTCTGGACCTGGGCGCTGAGCCTCAGCATTTCAGCTCAAGGCTAGTGCTCTACGACTTGAGCCACAGCGCCACTTCCAGCTTTTTCTGTGTATGAGGTGCTGAGGAATCAAACCCAGGGCCTCGTGCATGCAAGGCAAGCACTCTACCACTGAGCCACCTTCCTAGCCCTATAGAGATGATTTCAAGGACCCAAGACTTCAAGATTTGGGGTCAAGGAAGTTACTGGGTTGCTGGGGTGAGGATCAAAGCATAAAGAAGAAAAAGAGCTTGGAAGGAAATCAGGGGTGTCCTTTTAAGAGTTTAGCCAGAGAAGTGCCCAGGAGAGTCTGGGCAGCCAGTGAGGCAAGAGGTGAAAGCTGTGTGTGTGTGTGTGTGTGTGTGTGTGTGTGTGTATGATTTCCTGGAAGCTTCTAGAAGAAAATTTTACCCGGTGCTGAGAGTCTAAGGGAGATGAAGAGAAATAGCTGTTGACTTTGGCAAGAGTTTGGTCACTGATGGATCTTGATAAGAACTATTTCACTTGGCGGGTAGAGGGGGAGGGTCGGCCATTTATGTTCCAATGGTGACTTTCCAGAAAGTCCACTAGGTGGCGGTGTGACCCTGGAATCAGCAACTTCTATGCACACAGGACAGAACCACACTGCTCCTGTTCTTTTCCTTTGCAACTTGCAGCTTCTATTGAATGGTGTGTACACACACACACACACACACACACACACACACACACACAGAGCAGAGCTCTTGGTTTTGTTCTCAATTAGTTACTTAGCCTCCAGCTAATTCTTCTTCTTCTTCTTTTTTTTTTTGCCAGTCCTGGGGCTTGCACTCTGGGCCTGCGCGCTGTCCCTAAGCCTCTTTGTGCTCAAGGCTAGAGTTCAACCACTTGAGCCACAGTGACACTTCTGGCCTTTTTTGAGTAGTTTATGAGAGATAAGAGTCTCACAGACTTTCCTGCCCAGGCTGGCTTCAAACTGTGATCCTCAGATCTCAGCTTCCTGAGTAGCTAGAATTACAGGTGTGAGCAGACAGAGACTTTTTCTTGGTGGTGGTGGTGGTAGTTTTGGGGCTTGCACTCCGGGACTGGGCGCTGTCCCTCAGCTCTTCAGCTCAAGGCTAGCGCTCTACCACTTGAGCCACAGCACCACTTCCGGCTTTTTCTGCTTATGTGGTGCTGAGGAAATGAACCCAGGGCCTCAGGCATGCGAGGCAAGCACTCTACCACGGAGCCACCTTCCCAGCCTCCAGACACTCATCTCCAATTAACCAAGAAAATACTGGAAGTGGAGATTTACCTCAAGGGTAGAGAAGTAGCTATGCAAGCCTAGAGACAGAGAGAGATCCTTCATTCAAACTTCAGTACTAGAAAAAAATAAATAAATGTCCTTCTAAGCCCAGCTGGACCCCACCCCCACAGGCTGGCCAATGTTCATTCATTCATTCTTTTTTTGTTGTTTTTGTCCGTCTTGGGGCTTGAACTCTGGGGCTGAGCCTTGTCCCTGAGCTCTTCAGCTCAAGGTGATCACTCTACCACTTAAGCCACAGCACTACTTCTGGTTTTCTGGTGGTTTATTGGAGATAAGAGTCTCACGGACTTGCCTGCCTGGGCTGGCTTTGAACTGCGATCCTCAGATCTCAGCCTCCTGAGTAGCTAAGATTACAGGCATGAGTCCCAGTGCCTGGCTGGCCATTGTCCATTCTGCCTTACTAACCTATTCTGTCTTGCTTGCTGTTTTCTGGAGTTCAGGTGGAGGGGCCTGGGCTGCAGTTCTCTTTGCTACTCATTCCCCGTGTGACATTGTGCTGTCACTTCTCCTTTCTGAGCTCTGGGCTGTGGGAATGGAGCCGGTGGACTGCTGTGACCTGTGATTCAGTCCCTTGCTAGCCAGGAGCAGCTGAGTCAGTGGGAAGAGGTCCCTAGTGAACTGCCTGGATTCCCCAAGTTAAGA